CGGATGACCCCAGAACCCTTCATCGGCAGATCCTTTATGCCTCGTGAAATGAGGCTTACAGGATCTGCCAACAAAGGGTTCTGGGGTCGGCAGATCCCCCTCTAGACTGCCGTGCTATGCCGACAAACAGCTGATCGGCACACCACAGTGGCCATTTTGATGTAAATGAAGCAGCGATTATTTAAATTGCCCCTTCATTTCCCTTTGCCGAGTAAACTCATCTACATGGCTCCATTGACAGAGCCATGTAGTCTAGACACACCCTAAGGGTAAGGCTAGACTACACCGTTTTTCCCAGGATACTTCCAGTATCCCAGAAGAACTGTTCCACATCCAGGGAACGCGTTTGCTCTTCCGCTTTTTTTGTTGGAAAAGCCTCTTTCAACAAAAGAATCAGAAAAAGCTATGCAAAATGCAGGGAGCATTTTGTGTAGCTTTTTCCAAAAAACTTGTGTAGTCTAGCTGCACCCTAACACATTTATTAGGTCATGAGCTTTCATAAGTAAAATCCACCTCATCAAATGAGTTGGAGTGGAAATCAGAATATCTAACATATATAGCAGCATATATAACACCAAAAGGAGTTACTTGTCAATTGTAGGACCAATGTTAATGAAGCTAATTAAGTCAGGGTGGATGTGGAGATAGCATTTGATGTGGAGATGCAAGTAGCAAAGACGGGGAAATTGTGAGAGGCAATTCAGGTTTTGCCAAAGCTCAGAAAAGTGGTTACAAACATTGCTAAAACTGGTGTCCTGAACCTGCTTGTTAAGCAATCCACAGTGCAGTTTTGCAGCCTCCAGCTGTAAGGGTGACAACAGCAGTATAGCTAATGGGGATTTAGGAAGAAAGAAAAATATTATACAGCCATTCCCTTCCCTCCCCCTATCTGTTCCAGAGGATTCTTCTATGTATTATGCCATTTGCCCCATATTTGCAATGCTTCCAGGCTTCTGTGTAAACACCCTCTTAGGGAAACTGCCTCTTAGGGAAACTACTATTTCTGTTCAGACACGTGGGGAAGAAATCAAAGGGTTGGAGAATAAAAACTCTGAAATGAACCAGATGCCAGCAGACTTACCAATTCAATTTTTCTTCCCACTTCTAAAGAAAAAGTTTAGATCTAGGTGTTTAAAAAGGGGAAAATATTCCTTAGATCATTTGCAACCTAAGATTTGCTGTCAGTCCCCTCCCTGCTAAAAATGTTTGTTGATTTTTCATTCCATTTTTTCTGCCAGCAAATAAGTCTCAGTTGACACTCAGTCGCAGTTCCTAACACCACAATGGGCCCTGGCAACCAGGAACAACATGGAAAACTCTTGCTCAACTATTTCAACGGTGGTCTGGAGCATGGACTTAGTTGTACAGATAGTTCGGCTCTGGAATGGGTTTCCAAGGGAGGTTGTGGAATCCTTATTGTCACTGAAGGTTTTTAAGAACAGGTTGGACAAACTCCTGTGAGGGATGGTCTAGGTTTACTTGGTACTGCTACAGCACAGGGGTTGGATTAGGTAATCTCTCAAGGTCCCTTCCTATATTGTTGTGATTCTTCTTATTTTATCCAAACTGATCCCCAGCATACCTAAGAGTGACATCACACCTGTGAAATTGGAGAAGTTCCTGTAATAAGCACTATATGAGACAAGCTTCTAGTATGTGTAATAGAATACATCACCCAGAACACTGTGAAATCTGCATTATTCCCAACATACCTGTGGAACTTCGCTCCTTGGGCTGAGTAGAATTTGTACCATTTTATCGTATGAGGTTGGTGGTTCCCAGCAATAGAGACCCTGAAAGTGACTGTTTGGGCTCCAGTTATTACTTTGATCAGACAAACCTGCTCTCCAAAGCCATCACAAGCAGATCTATTGAAAGCCGTTATGCTGACACCAGGCTCTAGAAAGGAAAACAACAAAAATCTTTGTCTGCTTTAAAATCATGGAACCTGCCCTTGTTCATGGTGGTTATCTTAGCGAATCAGGACTGGTAGCAGATGCCAAAAATCAGTCTCCATTCCAGCCATATTGCCTGTGTTGTTCCACTGCTGCTGCTGCTCTCTGGACACAGAAAAGGACACACATAGGAAGCTCCACAATTCCCCTTGCAATAGCAGCAGTAGCAGCTTCCTCCAGGCACAGGAAGCTCACTGGGAGAGGGGGGAGAAGTTGTTCATATCTGGATGGATTGGTCTGTCCTTCTAAAGTGTGCTCTATTCTGTGTCTTACTGTACAGCACTTTGCTTACCTGCAATAATATAATACTTTGTGCATCTTTAGTTCTTTCCATGGAAGGATCTCAATACAACAAAAAGGGATACAATGAGGAGGGCTAGCTCAGTGGTTTAAGTATTGACCTGCTAAGCAGCCCAGGGTTGGGAGTTCAATCTTTGTGGAGGCCATTTGGGGTAAAAATTTGTCAGGGATGGTACTTGGTCCTGCTGTGAAGGCAGGGGACTGGACTCAATGACCTTTCAAGGTCCCTTCCAGTTCAGGAGATAGGCAATCTCCATTAATCTAATTTAGAATAAGCCCTAGTTAATTGCTATAGGACCTCTGTGAGATAAACAGGCATTATTACACTAGTATATAGATAAGCCAGTTGGGTAAATCTGGAGCCTAGAGTCAGAAGGGATATTTTAACCCTTTTCCAATCTGTTCTGTTTCTGCAAGTACTGAACAAATGGCCTTTGGATGACACTGGATTCCCCTTGTCCTGCATTCCTTCTTGTATGGATCTGGAAAGAAAGATTGTTTACAATCACAGAACTGAAGGGCTGCATGGGCCCTCCTTGAGTCCACCTTTCCTCTGCTCATCAACACTATGCACAGCTGATAGGGTAACTTCATCAAAAAAGTCCCAGATGGCCTGTTCCACTGAAATTAATGGCAATTAATGGCTTTGGACCAGGCTATTAAAGCTTGGGAGAGGCCCAGATGGAAATCTGGAAATGGAATCTCCAGCACACATTGGTAATGTGATTTTCTTTTAAAAAGGATCAGTCCAGGGGTTTATTTCCTTTGGGTTTCTTTGCAAAAATAAATATTTGAAAATGAACAAAATCTAGATTCTGGATGAAGAAACTAATTGCACATGAATTAATATGGTTCAGTGTTTTCCACTTGTGTGTGAAATCTTCATATACAGCTGGGCTACATCTAGACTGGCACGATTTTCTGCAAATGCTTTTAACGGAAAAGTTTTCCGTTAAAAGCATTTGCAGAAAATCGTGCCAGTCTAGATGTAGCCCAGCTGTATATGAAGATTTCACACACAAGTGGAAAACACTGAACCATATTAATTCATGTGCAATTAGTTTCTTCATCCAGAATCTAGATTTTGTTCATTTTCAAATATTTATTTTTGCAAAGAAACCCAAAGGAAATAAACCCCTGGACTGATCCTTTTTAAAAGAAAATCACATTACCAATGTGTGCTGGAGATTCCATTTCCAGATTTCCATCTGGGCCTCTCCCAAGCTTTAATAGCCTGGTCCAAAGCCATTAATTTCAGTGGAACAGGCCATCTGGGACTTTTTTGATGAAGTTACCGTATCAGCTGTGCATAGTGTTGATGAGCAGAGGAAAGGTGGACTCAAGGAGGGCCCATGCAGCCCTTCAGTTCTGTGATTGTAAACAATCTTTCTTTCCAGATCCATACAAGAAGGAATGCAGGACAAGGGGAATCCAGTGTCATCCAAAGGCCATTTGTCAGCTGGATGAAGTGACAACCGATTTTTATTGCCAATGTCTGCCAGGATATGAGGGCGATGGCACTAATTACTGTCAAGGCAAGTGACAGCTTAGCCTCTTGACAGCCTGTTCAGGGGATCTCCTTTCAGCAGGCCATTAACTCATCTTGACCAAATTGCATTACCTCCATGTGCCTTAACTGGCTTATCTATATACTAGTGTAATAATGCCTGTTTATCTCACAGAGGTCCTATAGCAATTAACTAGGGCTTATTCTAAATTAGATTAATGGAGATTGCCTATCTCCTGAACTGGAAGGGACCTTGAAAGGTCATTGAGTCCAGTCCCCTGCCTTCACAGCAGGACCAAGTACCATCCCTGACAAATTTTTACCCCAAATGGCCTCCACAAAGATTGAACTCCCAACCCTGGGCTTAGCAGGTCAATACTTAAACCACTGAGCTAGCCCTCCTCATTGTATCCCTTTTTGTTGTATTGAGATCCTTCCATGGAAAGAACTAAAGATGCACAAAGTATTATATTATTGCAGGTAAGCAAAGTGCTGTACAGTAAGACACAGAATAGAGCACACTTTAGAAGGACAGACCAATCCATCCAGATATGAACAACTTCTCCCCCCTCTCCCAGTGAGCTTCCTGTGCCTGGAGGAAGCTGCTACTGCTGCTATTGCAAGGGGAATTGTGGAGCTTCCTATGTGTGTCCTTTTCTGTGTCCAGAGAGCAGCAGCAGCAGTGGAACAACACAGGCAATATGGCTGGAATGGAGACTGATTTTTGGCATCTGCTACCAGTCCTGATTCGCTAAGATAACCACCATGAACAAGGGCAGGTTCCATGATTTTAAAGCAGACAAAGATTTTTGTTGTTTTCCTTTCTAGAGCCTGGTGTCAGCATAACGGCTTTCAATAGATCTGCTTGTGATGGCTTTGGAGAGCAGGTTTGTCTGATCAAAGTAATAACTGGAGCCCAAACAGTCACTTTCAGGGTCTCTATTGCTGGGAACCACCAACCTCATACGATAAAATGGTACAAATTCTACTCAGCCCAAGGAGCGAAGTTCCACAGGTATGTTGGGAATAATGCAGATTTCACAGTGTTCTGGGTGATGTATTCTATTACACATACTAGAAGCTTATCTCATATAGTGCTTATTACAGGAACTTCTCCAATTTCACAGGTGTGATGTCACTCTTAGGTATGCTGGGGATCAGTTTGGATAAAATAAGAAGAATCACAACAATATAGGAAGGGACCTTGAGAGATTACCTAATCCAACCCCTGTGCTGTAGCAGTACCAAGTAAACCTAGACCATCCCTCACAGGAGTTTGTCCAACCTGTTCTTAAAAACCTTCAGTGACGATAAGGATTCCACAACCTCATCACAGGAGTTTGTCCAACCTGTTCTTAAAAACCTTCAGTGACAATAAGGATTCCACAACCTCCCTTGGAAACCCATTCCAGAGCCGAACTATCTGTACAACTAAGTCCATGCTCCAGACCACCGTTGAAATAGTTGAGCAAGACTTTTCCATGTTGTTCCTGGTTGCCAGGGCCCATTGTGGTGTTAGGAACTGCGACTGAGTGTCAACTGAGACTTATTTGCTGGCAGAAAAAATGGAATGAAAAATCAACAAACATTTTTAGCAGGGAGGGGACTGACAGCAAATCTTAGGTTGCAAATGATCTAAGGAATATTTTCCCCTTTTTAAACACCTAGATCTAAACTTTTTCTTTAGAAGTGGGAAGAAAAATTGAATTGGTAAGTCTGCTGGCATCTGGTTCATTTCAGAGTTTTTATTCTCCAACCCTTTGATTTCTTCTCCACGTGTCTGAACAGAAATAGTAGTTTCCCTAAGAGGCAGTTTCCCTAAGAGGGTATTTACACAGAAGCCTGGAAGCATTGCAAATATGGGGCAAATGGCATAATACATAGAAGAATCCTCTGGAACAGATAGGGGGAGGGAAGGGAATGGCTGTATAATATTTTTCTTTCTTCCTAAATCCCCATTAGCTATACTGCTGTTGTCACCCTTACAGCTGGAGGCTGCAAAACTGCACTGTGGATAGCTTAACAAGCAGGTTCAGGACACTAGTTTTAGCAATGTTTGTAACCACTTTCCTGAGCTTTGGCAAAACCTGAATTGCCTCTCACAATTTCCCCGTCTTTGCTACTTGCATCTCCACATCAAATGCTATCTCCACATCCACCCTGACTTAATTAGCTTCATTAACATTGGTCCTACAATTGACAAGTAACTCCTTTTGGTGTTATATATGCTGCTATATATGTTAGATATTCTGATTTCCACTCCAACTCATTTGATGAGGTGGATTTTACTCATGAAAGCTCATGACCTAATAAATGTGTTAAGGTGCGGCTAGACTACACCAGTTTTTTGGAAAAAGCTACACAAAATGCTCCCTGCATTTTGCATAGCTTTTTCTGATTCTTTTGTTGAAAGAGGCTTTTCCAACAAAAAAAGCGGAAGAGCAAACGCGTTCCCTGGATGTGGAACAGTTCTTCTGGGATACTGGAAGTATCCTGGGAAAAACGGTGTAGTCTAGCCTTACCCTTAGGGTGTGTCTAGACTACATGGCTCTGTCGATGGAGCCATGTAGATGAGTTTACTCGGCAAAGGGAAATGAAGGGGCAATTTAAATAATCGCTGCTTCATTTACATCAAAATGGCCACTGTGGTGTGCCGATCAGCTGTTTGTCGGCATAGCACGGCAGTCTAGAGGGGGATCTGCCGACCCCAGAACCCTTTGTTGGCAGATCCTGTAAGCCTCATTTCACGAGGCATAAAGGATCTGCCGATGAAGGGTTCTGGGGTCAGCAGATCCCAGTCTAGACTGCCGCACTATGCCGACAAACAGCTGATCGGCACAGCACGGTGGCCATTTTGATGTAAATGAAGCGGTGATTATTTAAATCGCCCCTTCATTTCCCTTTGCCGAGTAAACTCATTTACATGGCTCCGTCGACGGAGCCATGTAGTCTAGACACACCCCTTAGTGTCTACGTTTCTAAGTTTCTACAGGACTGCTCATTGTTTTTAAAGTTACAGACTAACATGGCTACCCCTCTGAGATCTTGAATTCTCTTAATTTCATTGATATATCACTTTTAACACTAGAGGACACTTGAGGGTTACTGAAATTAGTGTATGAAGTGGTGTAGCCCTGTGAGCCCAAGGATATTAGGGTACATCTACACTAGCCCCCTAGATCCATCTAGGGAGGCTAATGAGGGCGACCGAAATTGCAAATCAAGCCCGGGATTTAAATATCCCACACTTGATTTGCATGTTCCTGGCCAGTCGCCATTTTTAGAAATTGACTAGCCCGAAGTAACTGCCCACGTCTACACGCAGCAGTGAAACGGGATTTCGATTTAAAGTCCTAACTCGAATTAGCTGGTATTCCTCCTGCAATGAGGTTTACCAGCTAATTTGATTTAGGGGCTTTAAATCGGAATCCCATTTCACTGCCACATGTAGATGTGGGCAGTTACTTCAGGCTAGTCAATTTCTAAAAATGGCGACTGGCTAGGAACATGCAAATCAAGTGCGGGATATTTAAATCCCAGGCTTGATTTGCAATTTCGGTCACCCTCATTAGCCTGCCTAGACTGATCTAGGGGGCTAGTGTAGACATACCCTTAGAGACACAGGCTGGATGAGGTAATAATAAAAGACATTACCTCATCCACTTTGTCTCACATAAATTGCTATCAATCATTGGCATGAGTAGTTTATGCAGTGAGTGAGGCTGGGAACACTGGTACATAACAATCCTGTATTTGAAGTTCCAGAGCATAAGCTTAGAGATTTTTAAAGAGTGTTTATCTGCAGCTAGTTTTTGAGTGTTTCAGTTATCAGTCAGGGTGTCCAGAAATTTGCTCAGAGACCCATTACTGATCGCTGTAAAAATGTGTTAGTGGGAAGGCTTGTTACAAGCACACTTACATATACAGGGCCAGATCCCCAGACGTGGTAGAATAAAACAGTTTTGCATGTAGGGGTGAGGAAAAAAACACACAGAGAAAATGGAGAGAGGAGCAACTAGCCTCTAGCTAAGGTGACCAGATAGCAAGTGTGAATCAGAACAGGGATGGGAGGTAATAGGCACTGTTGGGGGGCAATCTCCTCCTCGAGGGGTGCTGCCCATATCCGGGGCATATTTTAGAGTTCTCGGGCCTAGTCTCGCAGTACGCTGCCCCTGTATTAGGGGAAATACGGCCCACTGGCCTAGCCCTTTGTATGCAGGCTCTGAGACCTAGTCCTTCAGCCGCGCCCCTCCCCCTCGCCGGGGTTCAGGGCAGGAGGGGTAGGGGGGCCCGGGCCCTCCCTCTCCACCAGGCCCCGACCCAGGGCCCTATCAGTGGCAGGTGGCTCCCACCACTGGCTCGGCAGGGGGTCCTCCCCGCAACACACCGAGCCCTCAGGGGCTTTTCCAGCTCCCTGCCCTGGGTCACTTCCTACCCCCGGCCCAGCACGGTCCCACCTGTCGGCGTTGGTCAGGTGGCTGTAGCGACACTTCCCCGGTCAGCGTCGGGGTCGGCAGCGTCCGGTCTGGTGCCTGGGTCACGGGGGGGGGCGGGGGGGCCTGGCGCCGGGGGGGGGGCTTCGTCGTTGGGGTCGAGCCCAGCGTGGGCCTGGCAGCGGCGCGTTCAGCGGGCCGGGCGACTCCCTCTCTGGCGGTCGGGTCTGCGACTCAGGAGGTTGGGCGCTAGCTCCGGCTCCGAGGGCGGTCTGCCTCTTCTGAGCAGGCCTGCCGCCTTTTGTACCTTGGCTCCCCTGGGAGCATGCCCAGCAGGACTGCGTGGGTGGGACCCTCTCCGCCCCCTGCGCCAGGTGGTTTCCCTGGGCTTGAGTGCGGGGCGGGGCCACTCCGTCACAGCACCTATATAAGAAGAAGCCCCAGATATCAAGACTGTCCCTGTAAAATCTGGTTACCCTGCCTCCAGCTAGATGGTTAAATTACATCAGTGAAGAATGTCCCTAAGGACTCATCCTGCTGGCCAGGTTCATCAAAGCATGTTCCACTTCTTCATTCCCCCACGTTCCTGATGTGACCCTGGCCTACCCCAGTCTTGGGGGAGGGGAGAGGCAGGAGTAACTGTTGTCACACTGGCAAACAGAGTATTTCTGTAGGTCAAGATATGGGAATCCTCTGCCCATTTAAAGTACAGAGGATGTAGCCCACAGTGTTTTACTTGCATTCAATGTGAAGCGCTTCCACTGGTGTCAATGAGAATTGACAAAAATCGAGCGTAAAGACCTAGAAAACACATTCACCATTTCTATTGCCCCCAGCATGGGCAGAAGATAGTCTGCCCTCAAATCTAGGGTGTACCCAGTATGACAATGATTTTACAATTGATCTCAGCCAAAAAATTCCATTTGGTTACAAGAGCTATTTCTTTGCAGTTATCGAAGGAGACTGACACCAGCTAATAACTTGTCCCCAAAGATGGCTCTGGCCAACAGCAGTCTGGCTCTAACGCTGTTTTCCATTGAAGAGGATGATTTTTACCCAAACATGTTCTGGGCTGAAATCCAATCAGAAGCCTTACCCGACAAACAGGCAGCGATTGAAGCCTATGATTTCACAGACTTTCAGATGTTAAATCCTTCCCACTTGAGATACTTTTTCGTCCTGGAAAGAATGCCAATAGGTAAGAAATGGAAACTGCTTCTGCTGTTAACATTAGAAAACTTTGCCATGCTTTTAGAGTCAGTGTGAAAATCTTTGTCAAATGAGGGCTGATTTCTATTCCCCACCCTGCATAGCTGATCGTTAGCATTTTTATAAAACCAGAAATATCTATGGTCCTTTGCAGTGACAGTTACATCGGTATACACCCGCTTAAATGAGAATGGATTGGCCCCTTGGCATTCATCTGTGTCAGCACCCGTTTTATAATAAACAGCTGATCTGTGCTAATACCAACTGTTAATTCATACAGTGAGACATATTCCTGAGCTGAGCCTTTAGTATTCAGGATTAGCAATAATCCCATGTTTCCTGAAACATTTTAATATACTTTTTTCCTCTATAATCACCGAGGGCATGTCCTCACTAGGAAACTATTTCGAAATAACTAAAATCGATTTAATAACTCCCGAAATAACAAAATCGAAATAGCGTGTCCACACTATGGGGAAGCCTCGAAATTAGTCCAAAGCAGGCTCCATTAACGTGGATGCTGTACCTTGAATTAGAGCCTCAAGAAGCACTGGGGAGCAGGGTTCCCTCTAAGCTGTAAAGCAGCACAGCTTCACAGGTGATTAATCAGCCCGTACCAGTCAGTCAGCTCAGTGGAGAGCGCCTTGAGCCTCTGACTGGGTGGGGCTGATTAATTATCTGTGATGCTGTACTGCCCCACAGCTTAGAGGGCACACTGCTAAGGAGTAATTAATTTGAATTACTCTGGAGAGTAGTTATTCCAAAATAGCAGCACCGGAGTGTTCACACTAATGCTATTTTGACATAACTATTCTGAAATTAGCATTATTCCCTCAGGAAAGCAGGAGTACAGATTTTGAAATAAGCGGCCTGTTATTTCAAAATAACGGGCTTGGTAGTGTGGGCACTCTACCTAAGGGGGTGTTATTTTGAAATAAAGCCCTAGTGTAGACAAGGGCCTACAGAGGATGTCTGTAGGACTCTTTCTCCCCTGCAAAAAAATAGTAAAACTGCACCTCTTTCTGTAAAGGTATCACTTTATCTACAGTGATCCCCATTTATTCAGCTGTATTCTTCATTCAGTTTTGATTTTAGACTTTCATATCCAACAAGACCTGATATTGGAGACAGGGGCTGAAGTCTGATTTATATACAGCATATGGTTTTGCTTCTTTATTGCATTATGTGATGTTAAATTTTCCAACAAGACCTGATATTGGAGACAGGAGCTGAAGTCTGATTTATATACAGCATGTGGTTTTGCTTCTTTATTGCATTATATGATGTTAAATTCGTGCTACTTATTAATTTATTTTAATTCTCTCTACAGCCACATGACTATTTGTGCAAGGATACATTATAAAAAAAGTTGGCTTCCTCTGTCACACCCTGTTTAGATGCTTGTATGTTACAGATCATTAAAGATCCAAATACACCTGGCACACAAAGAATCTGCCAGTGAACACTGACACAATACAGTAGAGTCTCCAGGACCTTCATATGTATTTATTTCCAACAACACAGAGATATCACACTTTGACTGAAGCATAAATCCAAGATGTTTCATTCAGTTGTTTGTTACTTTCCTGGAGGCATACGTGGCCTGGTTTATTTGCTAAAAAACTTTAGGACCCAATGACCGGTTTTTAGGAACCATCATGAACGTTTAGTGATCTTGTTCTCTGGCTTTGTGCTTGTCTCTTTTAGAGGTTGGAGAGTTTCTAGAAGGAGACACTGTTACCATCCAGCTGCCCCAGTATCTTCAGGTGTCTCCTTCCAGCTTTATAAAATGGACTAAGGAGCCTTCACCCATGACGCTGTTTGGCACCAATGCTGTTGTGCTGGCCAATGGGACGGAGGGGATTGAGATCAAAGGAGTAAAGTATGATTGTAATCTGCTGTTCTTTCAGCCTGTAAACTGAAGGTTGTTTGTTTCCTTCTCCATGTCCAGGAATAATGCATCTTCATAAAAACAATAAGAATGACCATTGTGGGTCAGACCAGTGGTCCATCTAGCCCAGTCTCCTGTTTTCTGACAGTGACCCATTTTAAGTGATCCATTCCTGTCCCCCTTTCTGGCTGTCAGTGTTTCAGAGAAATGCAGAGCAGAGGGTTGCGTCCCTGACCCCCTTGCTGAATAGCTACTGATGGACCTATCCTTCATGAACCTATCTCATTCTTTTGCCCTTCATAACATCCCCTGGCAAAGAGTTCCACAAGTTAAGCATTTGTGTTGTGAAGAAGTACTTCTTCATGTTTGTTTTAAACCTTATGCCTATTAATTTCATTGGGTGACCCCTGGTTTGTGTGTTATATGAAAGGATAAATAACACTGCCTTATTCACTTTCTCCCCACCATTCCTGATTTTTATAACCTCCTAATAGTCCCTCCTCGCCACATGCACTCCAGCAGTGGGTTAGTATCCACAAAGAGCAGAGAATAAGCCACATGGACTGATGAAATTATGATCACTTAGTGCTGTTCTTAATACTTTGCTGCAAAATATTATTTAATAAATGATTAGAAATAGAAATAGATGTAGAGAAGAAGAAATACTGTGCAACTGTGAACTGAGTCCATAAGAAAAATAGCCATCAAGGGTTTGGCAGCTGTCATAAAACAGAGCACATCTCTGAATTTTGATCCCCCTCATCGTCCATCACCTCTACTTCCCCTTTCCTTCTATTTCTTCCCTCTGTACTTTTCCCCTCCTCTTCCTAAGTTATCTTCCAGTTGCTGGTGGTCTGAGGGGAGACAAAATCAATGCAATGTCTGAGTTCTAATCCCCTTCCCTGCTCATCCAGCTGGAAACCTGTGCCCAGAGTGAGGTCTGTAAAGAAACCTTCAGTAGAACAACCTGAATGGGAAATCGAGGATTCTCATTTCCTTTCTGTTTTACCTTCTCTCAGGAATAGTGAATTTGGTTACATCCGAGCTCTTGTCTATGATTTCACCCCTGATGTTCCTGGAAGGGTTATGGTAGCCCAGAGGCTCTTCTTCATAAAGAAGGGTACTGAGTGTTTTTAAATTTGTGGTGCATTATCCTTAGTATGCTTTCATCAGGATTTGACTTCCATGTCATCTCTACCTTTTTATTTAGACAGTTGGTGCCACTGAATCAGCCAATGCAATTTAAAAAAAAAATCATTAATCACTCTATTAATGTTAGTTGTGGTAAAACCACCTTTTTATTTAAATTATTATTTTATATGCAGATATGTATATATAAGTCAGTTCTGCTTGACCATGCTTTTTAACATATGAGTGAAATTAACTGTTCACTAAAACTCTCAATGAGATTTTTCACATTTTTAAAAGGATGCTGAAAAATTGCATAGGACGCAGAAAGAGAGTCACAAAAATAATTTGAGTGCTGAAGCAGATTCCTTACAATTAGAGATTTAAGAATGTGATCTGTGTAGTTTTTCATCAAGAAGATTGAAAAGTGACTTCACTGCAGTATAGCCATGCCTTTGTAAGGGAAAAATACCAGCCCAATAACCTAGCAGAAAAAAGCATAATAAGAGTCATTGGCTGGAAGTTAAAGGCATGATAAATTCAAATAAGAAACAAGGCACACATTTTTAACAGTGAGGGTGATTAACCATTGGCACAAACTACCGACAAAAGTGGTAAATTCTCTATTTCTTAATGACTTTACCTCAAGACCAGATGCTTTTCTGGGAGATATGCTTTAGACTTCAGTCAAGCACAAGTTATTGGGCTCAATGAAAGTGTAATTGGGTACAATTCTATGGCTTGTGCTATCTAGAAAGTAAGTCTAGATGATCTAATCATCCATTCAAGCCTTAAAATCTGAGTCTACGAATGAATGAATACCCACCATGTTTACTATAAAAGGCAACTATGTTTTTTTTACTTGAATAAAGTGAAATGATTAAATAGATCTGTTACTTTATTTGGCCAGGCTCCTGTTTATTTGTATCACATGTGCATTTCCCTCTCCTCCCCACCAGATATTAGCAAAATGTGCAATGGAACTCGGAGCGAAAAGAATTGCCACTGTAACCCAGGATTTGAAGGGAATGGCGTACACTGCATTGGTAAATATTTATGCACTCTGCTTCTTGGAGCATTTTCTCATAATTTAAGCATCACATAACAGCCACTGAGACATTCATGATATTCCTGAAGCCATTCAGAAGCTTAGGAACAACAGATAGCCATGTAAAGGATTCGCATGTAAGATTTCATGATATTCCTGAAGCCATTCAGAAGCTTAGGAACAACAGGATTCGCATGTAAAGGATTCGCATGTGAGAGCAAAATGCTGCTTGCCTCATTGAAAAGAATGAAAGATGGAGAAGGGTGTGTCAAGTTTGAAGCATCCATTTCAGAACGTGTTATAAAAATAACACAGAATTAGAACACACTGGGTCAGACCAAATGCCCATGTAGTCCACTGTCCTGTCCTCTGACAGTGGCCAATGCCAGGTGCCCTAGAGGGAATGAACAGGACAGGGAATCATCAAATGATACATGTCTTGTTACCCAGCCCTGACAAAGAAAGTTCTTCATTAATGACTCTAAAACTGCATATTTGAATGATTTGGCTAGTGTTTTAAGCTTCTATTCTAAAAGTAGTGTCGTATTTCTAAAGGGGTGTCTCCAAGTGAGGAACAGAGTAAAATGATTCACTCATTAGATACAACGAGTTCGGTTAAATGCTGTGACAGACTAGGCCGGGTCTGGCCACAGCTGAAGGCATCCACTCAGGGTGAATTGCTTGATTCACTCATTAGATACAACGAGTTCTGTTAAATGCTGTGACAGACCAGGCCGGGTCTGGCCACAGCTGAAGGCGTCCACTCAGGGTGAATTGCTAAAACTTGGGGCTCCTTATAGCCCCAGACTGGAGACCTTTCAAATAGGCTACATACTAGTCACACCTAGCGCTCCAGAGAAGCCTCACGAGCAAAACCCCTCTGACATCCCAGCTCCCTCTGTGCCACAATCAGCCCCGGGCCTGCACACACATGAGGGATTATAGAACCCAATCTCACCTACCCCGAACGGGTCTTTTCGGTCCCAAAGAACCAGCCACAGTCCCCAGGCAATTTACACTCTGCAGCATGTGAAGGAAATCTAAAGTTAATTCCAGAAAAGATGGGTTTCGTCAACATTCCCTTCCATGGCTGGCTTGAATTCTGTATTATTGTGATTTAAAAAAATGTCCGATATGCAAATACTGCAGGTGCAAAAAAGGGTGATAGTGCAACCATGATATGCACTCTGAGAAAGGCTCTCTCTCTTTCATGCTGTTAATAGTAGAGGGTAAAGTTTTTAAAAAGACAAGACCCATTTTGGTCTAATAGTATGATTTTCAATCAGAGCCTAAGGCAGAAAAGTAAACAAGTCATGCTTTGGGGCATCTTCTATTTGTGGAGGTTAAGCAAGATTTTCCCTCGTGCATATTTGCACTGTTACAATAAAGGCAAAAGAAGATGCCCAAGCATTGGTCATAGTACGATAGTCTCAATAAACCAATAAACCAGGGAGAATGGAACACTGGACAAGTAATCTGATGTGACGACTCTTCTGTGTTTTGTTGCGAGCAATTTGCAGGAATTCCATCCAAATGTAGGTGGCTCTCTCGTTAGTGCTCACACAAGAGCTGGTTACATGAGCAACAGACAGAATGGTCATGGAGCATTATTCAAATTAATGAAGTTGATTGCTAGAGCAGCATTAAAACTATGACAATCAAATGAACTACCCCATGTCTCATGAACAGACACCAAGCCATGGGCTGTATTCTTTAATTGCTCAACAGACTGTTCTAGTTGAGACCAGCAAAGACCCAGCTTTTTACTTAGGAGTAACATTTGAGTGCACTATTAATATATCGTACAGCAGCAAATATCATTTTGTGCACACAAATGTGAATTTGTGTGGGCCTGCTGAGTTCACGTGCACTGTTGTGAAGTGTATCCATTGTGCTCCCAGTTGAAAATTGTGACTCGGTTATAATTAGCTAAATCTGTTGTTTAAACTTAAGCACATTTCCCTCTTTCTGCTTAAAGATTTAGATGAGTGTGTGGAAGGAATGCCTATGAAGTGCTTGCCTGAGGCTGAATGTATCAATATACACGGATCATACATTTGTCGTTGTCCACACGGATTTGAGGGAGATGGACTATACAGCTGTGTAGGTAAAGAAAATGTAAGCTTGCGGGGCTTTTTTAAAACTGTGTTAGCTCGTCAACTAATACACTCTGAACAGTAAGTTTAGAAGCAAGTTTTTCAAAGCCTGTATAAATAAGCAGGTAAAGAGAAGGTTATGGCTGTGATTTACAGCAGCGGTTTTCATACTTTTTTTCTTGTGACCCAACTGAAGAAAACTGTTGATGCTGTGACCTGACATAATTATATCTTGTGCCTGGAATGCAGGCTATGGGATGAGGCCAGGAATGAGAGAGGGGGCTCAGGGCTGAGGCAGGAGATTGGGGCACAGGCTTACTTCCAGCAACTCTCAGTTAGCAGTGCTGCAGGTGTACTAAGGCAGGTTTCCTGCTTCTCCTTGCACCACAGACCACGTTGTGCCCCAGAAGTGGCCAGCAGCAGGTTCAGCTCCGAGGCAGATGTGTGCAAGCACCTTTGTGCGCTGTTCTCTGTGCCAGGGAAGATAATGGAGCAAGTAATTAAGGAAATCATCTGTAAACACTTGGAAGGTGGCAAGGTGATAGGGAACAGCCAGCATGGATTTGTAAAGAATAAATCATGTCAAACCAATCTGATAGCTTTCTTTGATAGGATAACGAGTCTTGTGGATAAGGGAGAAGCAGTGGATGTGGTATACCTAGACTTTAGTAAGGCGTTTGATACGGCCTCGCATGATATTCTTATCAATAAACTAGGCAAATACAACTTAGATGGGGCTACTATAAGGTGGGTGCATAACTGGCTGGATAACCATTCTCAGAGAGTAGTTATTAATGGTTCACAATCCTGCTGGAAAGGTATAACAAGTGGGGTTCCACAGGGGTCTGTTTTGGGACCAGCTCTGTTCAATATCTTCATCAACGATTTAGATATTGGCATAGAAAGTACGCTTATTAAGTTTGCAGATTATACCAAGCTGGGAGGGGTTGCGACTAATCTGGAGGATAGGGTCATAATTCAAAATGACCTGGACAAATTGGAGAAATGATCTGAGATAAATAGGATGAAGTTTAATAAAGACAAATGCAAAGTGCTCCACTTAGAAAGGAACAATCAGTTTCACACATACAGAATGGGAAGCGACTCTCTAG